ATGATAAAATGTTTTGTTTTGACTTTGTGAAGGGGTAAAAAAGTCATTTTGTAGTAAGAACTTCTGAACCTTGGTTGCAGGCGGCGCAGGAAAGTGGGAAGTCTTACTTGGCAACTACTCTACTCCCATATGCACGATTTCCAATCAAATCAAATACCCTTCAAATTGTCTTTAATTACAACAATGCCACTTATGCTTTGGTTTTCTTTTGCTAGTGGGTTATTCTCTTACTGGCCCTATTGTAATTAATTGCCATGAGAAGGGTAATAAAAAATCATCCCAATCCACTTGAGACATTTTGCAATTGAAGGAATAGAAAATTTGTAATTTCATAAACTTGGCTTCATGTTCATGTAAATTTCATTTCCCTAATTATTTATTTATTTATTACTATTTTAATCTGGAGTTAAAAAATCTCGTTTTGAATAGTATATTTTTTGACTTTTTTTTTATTTTTGTGAAAGAAAAAATAAAAAAATAATGAATTAGATGTGACATTTTGTCATATTTAACTAAAATAGTCTATTTTTTCTTATATAACTATTTTAACGTCAAGAAACATCCCAAACAAGCTCTATATTTATTACATTTGCACCCTTACCTGTTCGAACTATGCCTTCGCATGGGAATAAATTTTTTAGTCTGAATTTTTTATTTTTTGACTATTTTAATTTAGCTAAAAAAATTTTGTTTAGAAAAAACTTTGGACATTTTTTAATTTTGTGAGAAAAAAAGTGAAATAATTATGATTTAAATATGAAATTTTGTCTTATTAATTTTTTAATTCATTTTATTTTTTAGTGGGCTAAATTAATCAAAACTTACTTTCCAAACGAGGCTACTTCTTTTTTAAGATAAACCCCAAGTATAATTGAAAAATAATAAATTTAACACATGGTATCAAATACAGAATAAGACACATATGTCTTACAAGGAATTAGTCCCATATGATGTGGTGTGTTCTATTTTGTGTTTAATTTATGTATTTCTAGTATTGTTGATTTAAAAATAATTCAGATTGATGGTTTTTTTTTTTTTGTTGGGCATAACCTTATGAATTTTTTTAAAATTTTTTTTATCATGGGTTTTTTAAAAATTTGTTGGTGTAATAAAAAAGAAGTCAATTGTCACGCAATATTAATTTGTTAATTGTTAATGTATATTATTCCACGTCTTGCATTATGCCTTTATTATTGTATCAGAATCATAAGGTTTTGGCTATGAAAGTGGTGACATTCGGATCAAGAAAATATAAAATTTTCAGCCTAATGAGAAAGAATATCAATTTGTCTTACTAAAAAGTAAAATTTATTACATTGAATCCATATAGTTTTACAAATTTTGAATTTATCACTTTAAAAAACGTCATATCATAACTTGATGGTATTAAATTATCACCTTAAAATTGTTAATTTAAACTGTATTCGATACAAAATATGAGATCAGTTATATAAAATAATAAGAAAATGCTAATATATTTTGTGAAGAAGTAAAAAAGAAAGAGGAAGATTAGTCAAGTAAGAAACAATTATAATTTTTATTTATTTTTATTAGTGGCATTTAAATGCTTTAATTGAAAAGTTATATTTAAACAAGTCAAAAAAACTTCAATTTCCACTTTGACATTGCTAGTAAGAACAAGAAAAATGAAGAAAATTATTTTTTTAAAAAATTAAATATAAAAATATAAAAAAAGTTATTTAAATTATAATAAGGCCAAGTTTGGCATATTGTAAAAAAGTTAAAAAGTCAAAAAGTTACTCAAAAAGTTAAAAAGTTAACACTATTCACACAATTACGAGCTGCACACTACCCAATCTTAATTTCTTTTCCTACAAATCAATTTTTATAATTTTTTATTACACATTTTTCCATAAAAAGTCAAAAAAATTAACCCAAACATCCATATTTTCTTCCTCAATTTTTTAGTCTAAAAAAATAAAAAGTGCACTTATTTAGGACACCCCAAATAACTCCTAAATCTTACATGTGACGTTTGTTGGGTATAATTACAACAAAATCAATAAATTAATCCCTTGATAAAAACAATTCTCATTTGTTTATAAATTAATCCCTTGATAAAAACAATTCTCATTTGTTTATTTATTAATTTTTAATAATAATAATAACAATTTGATATGTCGGTACGTAGCATGTTGACGATTTGGGTCCAAAGCCTATTATCCGAAGATATACGGGTGGAATCTATAATTTATCAAATAATACACTTAAACTTATAAAAATATAACCATTTAACTCCTTTATTTTAGTGGAAGTTTCACTTTCATCATAATAGTTCTACTATTAATAATTTGAATCTCGCTTTTTCGCTATTTTATAATAACAATAATCACATCCAATTCAACATTAGGATTTTGACAATTCCAACACAAGAAACAAATATAAAATAAAATACATATGTGATTCGTATATATATATTTTTTTTTGGGAAAATTGCCAGTTTTAAAAAATTATTTTAAATTCATAAGTTTTTTAATTATTAATAGTTATAAATTTTATCACTAAATTATAATTAACTTTCAAAATATACTCTGAACGGTTATTTCTTTCTTCTTTTATTTATTTATTTATTTTAATTTATCTTTGATCTGTCCAAGTTTGTATGCCATTTTATTTATTTATTATTTATTTTTTTTGTGTGTGTTTAAAATGCTAACAATAGTTTACTATTAGAATGCAATTATAAGTCTAAAATTAAAATTAAAGAAAATAAAATTTCAAATATTAAAAGACAAGTGCTAAAGGGGGTATCTTTGTTTAATATTGGTATTTTTTTTTTTGTGTGTGTGTTTAAAATGCTAACAATAGTTTACTATTAGAATGCAATTATAAGTCTAAAATTAAAATTAAAGAAAATAAAATTTCAAATATTAAAAGACAAGTGCTAAAGGGGGTATCTTTGTTTAATATTGGTATTAAATTGGAAAATGCCTTGAAAATAAGTAAAATTGTTAGAAAGTATATTAATTTCTGTAAAAAGAATGAGGCTTTTTGGCTTTTTGGCTATTTTTAGTAGACTATTTTAGTTTTTGTGTTTGGGAAGATGAGATGAATTTTTATTTGAGTTGTTGTATTGAAAAATGTGTTAAATGATGTTTGAAGTTAAAATGACAAATTTGTCTCTAAAATTATAATTTTTTAAATTGATGTAAATGGGCAAAATCGTAATTTATCAAGTGATGTAACAATTTGTCAATGTGACAGTGTAGGCTGTGCCTACACTGTCCGGCAGCTGCACCTATTTTTTTTTTTTTTAATAAAAAGGGTTGAACAGTGGGGCTTTTTGGCTTATTTTTAATTTGGGGCTATATTAGCCTGAACCCTTGTTTCCCAAACAGCGCCAATATTAAGGTCTTGATTGACAACATCACTTTTTAATCTAAAAGTTAAAAATTACTAAAAAATTTAAAAAACCAACGGTCTATATCAAAAAGGCAAAGATTTTATTTTCTCTTTATTTTTTGCACATCTTTTTCGTAAAAAAAATAAAAAGTCATCCCAAACATACTAATTTTTTTACATCATATTTTAACCAAGAAGTTACTAAAAAATGTATTCCCAAATAAGGCCTAAATTTAGTAAAAAGTGTGTGTTTAGGATTTTTAAACAAATCAAACTCCTCCAATTGGACTCATGGTTAAATACTCATTTGAAATCAACAAGTAATGTACATAAATAAAGTTTGGACACAATTTTAAACTCATTAAATTTTGAAACGAAACTTTAACAACTCACTGCTTGACTAAATAAGTTTATGTATTATAAAAATTAAGTTACTCGAGCTCGGTTTATGTTCAACTTGTTGAAGTTTGCTCGATATGTAGACAAATCAAGTTTTAATCTAATTTTAAATTTATTAAGGCCAAGTTTGACAAGTTGAAAAAAAGTTAAAAAGTCAAAAAGTTACTTAAAAAGTTAAAAAGTTATCACTATTCACCAAAAGTCAAAAATTACGGCTGCACAACTTACAATCTTAATTTTCCTCTACACATTAATTTATACAATTTTTTAATACACATTTTTTCATAAAAAGTTAAAAAGTTAACCCAAACATCCATATTTTTTTCCTCAATTTTTTAGTTAAAAAAGACCAAAAGTGCACTTATTTAGGACACCCCAAACAACCCCTAAGACTCATTTTGGGAAGCGAGTTAAAAATTACTTCTCAATTTTTAACTCACTTTCCTCTCTCACAAAAAAGTCAAAAAAAAAAATTGAAAAATAACTTTTAACCATTTTTTCAAAATATCCCTGAATTTTCAAATTAAACTTGAAAAACTTATAATTCAACTCGACTTTACTTGTTTTCAATGATATTGATGTTCTTCAAAAAAAAAAAAATTATTATCTAATAATATTTGTTAGCAAGATTTAGGCCTTATTTGTCGTAATATAAAAAAGTTAAAAAGTCAAAAAATTACTATAATATTTAAGTTATATTATCTTTTTACCACATCACTTCAGATCTAATCCATATCCATACTCAATTCATATTTCATAAAAAATTAAAAAATACACATTTTTCTTTTTTAGGTCTAAACCACCGGTATCCGGAAGTCCACAGAACCCTGACTAATCTGGTTCGAACCGGGTAGGACCACAAGGGCGGTAAAACTCTCCTAGCCAAGTTTTAACACAGCTGCATTCCCAAGTCTCGAATCCAAAATCTTAGTTAAGCTAGCATAGTCTCTTACCAGCTAAATTACGTACTTGTTGGTAAAAAATACGCATATTTAAATCATTACAAACCCTCTCTTATAATAAAATAAATTATTTCTAAAATTGTAAGAAACAATGTGGTAATAATTCAAATATAAACAAAAGGGAAAAGAATATAAAAATGGTGGTTTTGGAAAAGTTTGAAAAAAGCTCCAGACGAAATTGACGTAAGGAGTTGCTTGGAATCATCTGAATGAAGAGCCTTTTTCTCTTTCTCTCTCTTGCCATTTAAAGAAAAGAGCTCGAAATTCGAGGTTGGTCTGTTGAATTTTTGTTTTGAGAGCGAGAGCATCTAGAGAGAGAAAAATCGTATAGTGGTTACAATGGTACAGTAACCCAAGTTTAATATACACAGCACAAAGTCAAAAAGAGTCGGTTTTCTTCAAAAGCTTCAAAATTAGGGCTTTCTGTGGATTTTAGCTCCTGGGTTTTGGTCAGTTTGTTGCAAAATCAGTACTTTTGAGAGGTCATAAGCTGAATATTCATCTAGTTTTTGGTGAGGTTTGTGGGTTTTTTACTCTAAATATAGTGCCCTTTTATGTGATTCTGATTCTGTTAATTTTACCTCTTGATTAAAAGTAGATTGCTTTTGAAGAACTAAAGAGTTTTTTTAGGGTTTTGATGTCTTGGTATGTGCGGTTAGCTACGATCTTTAGGTGATTAATTTAATTTTGAAGGTTTGTTTTGGTTTTGGAGTTTTTTTTTTTTTTTTTCGGTGGGTCTGTAGTTACTGTGCTTTGATTGAAAGTAGGCTGCTTTGGAAGAACTAAGTTTTTTTATTTTTAGGGTTTTTGCTATCTTGGTATGTACGGATAGCTATGTTGTTTTGGTGATTTATTTGATTTTGAAGGTTTGCTTTGCTGTTTGATTTGGTTTTGGAACTGGGTTTATAGTTTTTGTTGATTCTATAGGAAACTTTTTATTTTGTGAAATCGTACTGAATTATTGGTGCTTAAGGTTTTATAGTTTTGTTGTGTTTGTAAGATGATTTTTTTTTTTTTTGAAATTGTACTGAATTATTGGTGCTGGAGAGAGACATCTTTGATTCTGGTTTGTTTGGTGGTCATGGTTTGTGATTTAGAAGTATCTGTGTTTTCATTTCAGTTGTTTTTGTGTTGTGTTTTGTTAAAAGGGTTTGAAGTTTTCTGTGTTTTGGTTGTGGCATTCAAGGTGGTGATGATGATGACTTATGGGCAGCACAACATTGAAGGATAGTGCAGAAGATGACACAAGGTTCTCTGCTGTGATGCCGAGCTTTGTTCCGCAGATGCCTATTTCAAATACCGTGTAAAATTTCTTGTCAGAACTATCTTGTTGATTTTTTGGCTGCTCATTGAAGTATTTTTCTTAATTTAAGTTGGGTAATAATGATTGTTTTGTTTTTTATTGTTCTGTTTCCATCTTTATTAGTTAGTTTACCGTTGAAACTTTGAAGAACGTTCTCATTTAGTCAGTATAATCATGATTAATATTAATGTCGTGTAATGGACGTGCTGAACTTGAGTGTGCCTCAAGCGGTTGTAACTCTAAAAGTCTAGAGGAAGGTTTGGGGTTCGAACTTATGGAGAAGCCTTGAACGCCGGGTTGTAGTGGCTTAACTCACTAACACGTTAACATCCCACCTAGTGCAAAAGAAAAGAAAATAAAAGGGATGGATGTGCTTATGGAGGACAGCTTCTACTTTTGAGTATTAGACAATATTTTGTTGGTGACTATATGGGTAGGCTAGAAAAAGAATAATGTTGAGATAGCCAATTGATGCGGTCCATCTATATATATATATATATATATATTTCTTGTTATAGTGAAACTTTTGGAACGAATAAAGTAGTAAAGAAATATATCTTTAATACCATATTATTAGAAGGAAACAACTGCCATCCCTATTCCCAATGAATTCCATATAACATAGATGTTGAACTTTGAATGTTGTTGAAAATATACTTTATTTATTTATTTTATGGATCAATAAGTAATGTAGGGAATTGTCTACTTAAGAGAATTTGCAACAATGATTTTGAGTACTGGAAAATACACCCATATCGAAACCTATTGATTGACTGAGAATATCAGCATTAAAGACATCAAAAGTTAGCTGATTCACAAATAATACCCAAAAGTTGGAGAGAACTAGGGATCTCACAATAGTAACTGTCCTTTTGAGTTTTGAGTCGATACATCGTTGCTCATAGGCCAAGACTACTAACCAACTAAGAAAATTTACCAATAAATGGTAAAAACTAAATGAAGTAGGGAAAACAATTAATTAAAGATCCTTGAATCAAGATTGAATCTACAGAATCAGATTTTGACTTTTAATTAAGAAAAAAAATTTCAAAAAATGTAAAATTGATTAAATTGACATCCCAAGCAAAGGAAATAGCCCCAAATCTGGTAGGATCTATGGTGAAGTCATGGATCCTAATCTTCAACATGTTGCCATTCAAGCTACTAAATTTCAAGTGATTATGACCTTGGACAACTTGATTCCTTCTATTGGCTTTTTCTGGCTTGTCCCACGTGCTTGTCCACTTATTCCATGAATTGTAACGCCAAACACGCCGCATCAGTAAGTTTATAAATGGCAGAATGCTACAAAAGAGAGAGCCCAAAAAATAGGGCTATCCCCAGGATGCATACCTCTTGCCAAAACAACTAGCAGTCAAGCTTTGCTCAAAGATACAAACAACATATAAATAACAGAACCTACAAAATCAAGTTCCTCTTATAGAATACACATCAAGATTAAAGCTTCCATTTTATCAAACTATCTTCTAGCCAAGTTTTCCATCTATATGAAGAATTACAGTTTTCACAAATTTCTCATGCTAGCTGAGAATTGTTGATAATTCAACATTATGAGAATGTATCTCCAACATCACATGAAATATCAAGAATTAAGCCCCAGTTTGGTTTTTGAGTTGGGACTACATATGGACAAAAAAAAGCTACAAAATCACAAAATGACAAAACACTTGACTTTTGATGCAAAATTACCAAATTGATCAATATACAAATAAAAAGTCAAAAAAACATCATTTCCAAGTGGAGGCCAATTTTGTCATTCCAATGCAAAAAGGTCAAAAAAGTCAAACAAGAAATCCAAACGAACAGAAAAGTCTTAGGCTAAAAAAGTCAAAAAAGTCAAAAAGCCAACATTGCCAAACGAAAAGATTCTTACTTGGAAATCACTCTAAAATATTCTTTGATTGTGTTCCCCAAAATATGTTCATTTAGCTCATAAAAACTACTTTTGTAACCAAATATGGAAGCACACTAAGCAATAATTGAATCAACTTTTACCCCAATTAATGTGATTGATGCTGATTGACACCCTGTATGGGACAATGGCCATACTCTGTTCGGTAGATGTGCACATTGAGCTTTAGCCTAGTCAATTATTTACAGAATTTTAGTGATTCTATCACAAAATTGAAGTGTTTCTCTTTGTGCACACGCGTGTGCAGGTGCTCATGCTGCATGCCTGCCTGCATGGATTAAGCTGTTATGCTTGAACTTGATTTAAGACTATTTGTATTTACTCTTTTTTACGTGCCTCAAAACATGAACACACACAGTGCAGTTTGAAGTTTTGGTTTCTACATTGTTTTGGTCTTGATTAATATAAAAAGATCCAAAACACAACCCCGAATCTGGTGTATAAGTTATTCTTAAGTGTTGGAAATTGAAATATAGAATTGAAGTCTTGTCTTCAATTATCCTAGAAATGAAGTTAAAATATTTGCTGCATTAGGATACAGGCATATGTCTGTGCAAGGAGCCATTGATATATGTCAGTAGTAATTCATACGGTAGTATTCGAATTCACTCTTTCTTTTGTTGACTACGGAAGAAGGGTTAACAAAAAACTTTGATTTTCTGAGTTGTATTATTCTGTTGTGACAATCTAATGTTTCTGATAACTTCTGGATTTTTTCAGTGGCTCAGAGGGGGGCACTTCCCATTCTTCTCGAATTTCTGACTTTGGGGCCCTTGAACAATCTCTCGGATTTCGTGTAGCAGATGCTGCTAACAGTAGTAGAAGTATGTATTTATAGTTCTAATATTGCCTGGAAAAAAAAGCTTTTATGCTAGCATTTTTGCATTTGGTTCTTTGTCAACAACTAACTTTGAATTTTATTCATTTCTTGGTTGTTTGAACTCTGAATTCGGTTTACTGTATAATATGTCATTATGTTACCCATTGAATTCATGCAGAGAACTTGGCAGAAATAGTAATGTGGTTTGGGTATTAGAGTCCAAGAAACAAATTTTGTCGTTCATGTTACCTAATTTTCTCTGTGGATTTTCTTTCAGTGTCTCAATTATATCTTGTTTTTATTTATTTGTATGTATGACTGACATTGAGATCTTGTTTTGTTGCTTATTATTTGACTGACCAACTTATTGTCTTTAGATCCTGTATCCCAACCAACAAATTCAATTAATCCAATAGGAGCCTCTGATTTCCAATTTGGCTCATTCAATAAGGTGATTTAGGTTTTCTTCCCCATTTGTACATGATCTAAACTTGATTAAATTATAAGTCGTTTCACAATGTGATTGTGTCTCTTTTGGATATTCAGTCACTTGCTGCCTTCAATACAAATTTATCTGCTGTTATTGCGGGGTCTCAGACATTACAGTTGCAAAAGGGACAGCAGTTGAACTTAACTTCTGTATCGGGCAGTCATCGTGAGAACGGTGGGGAGGCAAATATGGCAGCTGCCAGTCCTCTAACTGATACCTCAACAGACGTGGATACAGATGAGAAAAATCAAAGGGTAATGTATCTTAAACATCTAATATCTTAATGTTTAGCTTTTAATCACGTAATTGTGGTATGGCACATGCGATAAGCATAAAATGTTTGGTGTAAGCCATACATGTATTTATCCATTTCTTTCTATTTTATTTATAATTTGGGAAACAAAAAATAAGGGTGGGCAGTGCAAATGATATTTTACGTATAAAATTTACTTGTTTGTAAGGGTCGAAACCAAAAGCATTTATTTTCATAAAAAATCTTTTTATCTAAAAAGTGAATGTAATTGGTATTTCAAAGAGATGGAAATTGGGGAAGAATTCAAATAATGTTTTAGTTTTCTTAGAGTATTTTGTTAAGTAGGGGTGTGTTTTAGTGGCTCAAGTCTCCTTAAAAATACAAAGCCAGGAATGGGCTGAAGTAAATTTGTTAAGACACTTTTTTGGGTTTGCCTGATACTGTCAAAGGAAGAAGATGAGAGAATTATTTGGCAATTAGAAAAGGGTCAATCATTCACCAAGTGCAGGTGTTAATTAAAACTTAAAGTTACCAAGGTATTCATAGTCTCGTTGTAGATATATATCGGATTTAGTAATTACTTACTATGTTTATTTTTCTAAATTTAGGGAGTTGGGGTACTTTTGGAGCAAAACTTTGAAACCAACCTCACTTCCTTTTTGTACTAGTGTAGTGTCTGTGCGAATTGTTTCTTTACCTTGCAGCATTCTGATTTCAAATGTAGTTTTTTTATTGGTCATGCATTATCCCAATAAATAAGTAAATGAATAAATCTTCATTGTAAGGAAGAGTTGGCTGTTGACATATTTTAGTTGTGAATTAAAATTTTGTACTTCCCTGTGCAGTTTGAAATGGGTCAATCGAATGCTCTTGTGGCCTCTGATTCAAGCGACAGATCAAAGGAGAAAACATTGGATCAGAAGGTTATACACAATTGAGACTAGTAATGTTTATAATATCTCAAATGATACAATAATTTTTGTTAATTTTTTTCTTTTTTTCAAAATGATTACTTTCAGACGTTAAGGAGGCTTGCTCAGAATCGTGAAGCTGCCAGAAAAAGCCGATTGAGAAAAAAAGTAGGTTGTGTTACTTCAATTGTCAATTATTTGTTCTGAATATTATATTTCCTGTATTTGTAAAAAACAAATGCATATTGGTTAATAATCTGTTGGAAACATTGCCTTATTAATTGATCTGTTTAAAAGTATGAATAATGTTGCAGCAGTTTGTGTTAATAAAAAGTTGAATTTAACTTGAATCTCTCTTTTTTATTTTTCATTGTTTATTCAACAGGCCTATGTACAACAGCTGGAGAGCAGCCGGCTGAAGCTGACCCAACTTGAGCAGGAGCTGCAGCGAGCCCGCCAGCAGGTTTAATACTTTTTGTTAAAATCTACCTACTCCACTAAACCTTCACCCACTTAAACCTACTCCACTAAACCTAACTCACTACACCACTACCACCTCACCTACTCCACTAAACCTAACCCACTACACCACTACCACCTCCACTTCACCTACTCCTTACCTACTACACACTCACTCTCTTCTATATATAGGAATCATGAATCATTGTAATGTACATCAATATATATCAATCAATAATACATACAATTTATTCTCTCCTTTCTCTATATCAATATATTTTTTACACTTTTATCCATTTCTGAATATACATGTTTTGTATATTAGTATTTTATTTTTATTTTTTTCTAACAGATAAAGTACTATTATGTGTTTCACTCCCTTTAGATCACTAATTTGTTCTTGTCTTTTTCTTTTTCAGGGAATATTCATTTCAAACTCAGGAGATCAGTCCTCCCATTCATCGGGTGGAAATGGTATGCATACCTTATTGTACTGCTTCTCTTTGTTTTCAACTTGTGCTTCTAGAGACTCTTTATGAGTTCCTCTCTTTTTTTTTGTTAGCAGTTTGCTAAAAAATTGATGTGGAGTTTGTATTGTAAATTACTGATTTTTGGAATGAAATATGAAAGCTTTTGTTCTATGGTCATGATGAAAGTTACCGGTGTCTTTATAATTGGATACAAGACAATAAACATGTTGATCTGGCTTTTGTTTCTCCATGCTTTGGTAAACTAGTAGTCTCATTGTCCGGCTTTCTTTACCTCGTCTCTTTCTATATATATACTGCGGTGATGGGTTACTTGCATGTCAATGATGATCAATAACTATCATTATTCATTAGGATTATTAGGTTCTCTGCTTGTGTTTCAGAGTTTAAGGTTATCCATTAGCCAATCAACTGTTAAACCTGGTTTTGGGAGGTACTCATACAACTGCTTTGATCACGTACCTAGTCTTAGGCCTCGTTTGGGAACAAGCTAATTTAGTAACTTTTTGGCTAATTGGCTAAAAAGGTAGGTAAAAAAAACTTGTATGTTTGGGATGACTTTTTGACTAATTATGAAAAGCTGTGCAAAAAGTAGAGAGAAGCCGTAATTGTTGACTTTTTGGTATGACTAATTGGCTAATTGGCTAATTTAGTAATTTTTTGGCTAATTGGCTAAAAAGGTAGCATCCCAAACAAGGCCTTAGTTGACTGGTTATTTGATAGTGTTTCTTACTGCATCTCCATGCACTTCATTGTGAATTTTTTCTTGATTTGTGCCTGTGGATCCTGTCAGTGTTGGCATTATCTTATGATTCGGTAACTTTAGAAAGAAATCTTAAATTAAATGTATCTTACGATACATATATATAATACATGATCCGGACACCCCAGTGCCAATCCCAAAAAAAAAAAAAGGCGCAATTCATGCTACAATATATGCGATACATGAATAATTAAATTTCTTTATACTTGTTTCTAGTAAATAAATATTTTTACAAAATTCTCATAAACATATTATAAAATAATACTTTTTAGAAGAGAATGGTTATTGTCTTTTATTTTCTCTACTTTGTTGATAAATATCTACTTATTTAGTATTATGTATCTTGTGTGGTTGATTTATGCCTACTTACACTGATTAAAGTTTAAAATTTTCTACTATGGACAAGCTCTTTGAGAACTTAAAATACGCAAATTATATAGTAAATCCTAAATGGTGAATTAAGATAGTGTCTTATACATGATACGATACTATACACGATTCAGAAAAATAGAAAAACGATACATGATTCGTATCCCGATTTGACAACTTACAATGACTGATTACACAGTTTTTCCTTTGTAATTTTTCCTTCTCTGTTTTTATCTTTCTGTTTCTTTGTGCGTCTGTCCCTATAATTGAATTGAATTGAATTTGCAAAAAAATGGATTTTCTGTAGAGAAAGATAGCCTTGCTAATTCCATTTTTTTTTTTTTGCAGGGGCCTTGGCATTTAATGCAGAATATGCACGATGGATGGAAGAGCACAATCAGCAGATAAATGAGCTTAGGGCAGCGGTCAATTCACATGCAATCGACACCGAACTTCGTACTATTGTGGACAGTGTCATCACACAATTTGATGATGTTTTCAGGCTGAAAGGCAATGCAGCCAAGGCTGATGTTTTCCACATATTGTCAGGGATGTGGAAAACACCTGCAGAACGGTGTTTTATGTGGATCGGTGGCTTCCGCTCCTCTGAACTTCTCAAAGTGAGATTCTTTATGGCTCCAGCTCTTTTATAAATATACTGTGGGTGTAGGGAAGATTTTAGTGATGTTTTTTAGATTTGAGTTTCTCTCTTATTCTTCAAAAATTCTTTAGCAAGAGGCTGTGGTTTTAACCCCATGGCAGATGGCTTGGTTTTTAAGCTGTCTTTACTGAAGATTGCTGAAATCTATTTAAAATTAAAGGCAAACTTTACCCCCATGTTATGGTCCCAGACCACTTTATGTTATTGTCTTTTAAAAATAGCCCAATATTCCACATATGGTTTTGGACTAAAGTGTTGACATTACATTTTCCATCCAAGTTAGCAAAATTTGTAGTAAGGTTGCTTGTTTTGAGAAGGGGGAAGAAATTTGTTAGTCAAAGTCAAGTTTTAATGCGAAAAGACAAGATTGCCCTTGTCTTCATCTTCTAAGAAAACCATAACCCTAACTCCACACTCCAGCCACCTCACGTGCCACCTTCCCCAACTCCTCCCCCTCCCTCCTCCCCAGTTGCTTGCTTTGTGCTAAAATGTTTTGAAATGTCTTGAACTCCTTGGCAGAAAATGTTTTCAACAAACTTGTCACTCCAAAATCATTTGATATCTGCCATTTATGCAGTCAACACTACATGTTAAATATTTTTACATGTTCCGAACACTGTTGTAGGCTTTTTTCCCCTCTTTTTTTATTTGTTTTATCATTTTATTCAGTTTGTTTTGTGGATTGAATCAAATGTCACTGCAGCTCCTCGTGAATCAATTAGAGCCTCTGACGGAACAACAATTAATGGCCATCTACAACTTACAGCAATCATCACAGCAAGCGGAGGACGCACTCTCTCAGGGTATGGAAGCATTGCAGCAATCTCTGTCTGAGACATTGGCCAGTGGATCTTCTTCAGGGCCATCGGGATCATCAGGAAATGTGGCAAATTATATGGGTCAAATGGCAATGGCCATGGGAAAGTTAGGAACTCTTGAAGGTTTTGTCCGTCAGGTAAATTTCTCTTCTATTGATTTTTTGGGTAATCTTTTATATCTCCTGTGCTTTTATTTCTTACTGACAAAGCTTAATTATAGTTGTGGTAAGATTTCAAGTTTCTTTTCTTCTTTTCATTTGATGCATCATTGCTAGCTTGTATATTTTACCCGATTATGCAACCATTGTTTTATGTCTTTGTTCCGCTTGATAATAGAAGTGAATGGTGAACGTCCAAATGTCTCCCAGTGTTCCGGCGTGTAAATCTATGTTAATTTGGGCTATATGTGAAGTATCTTTTTATCTAAGAAGGTGATGTGTCTGTGTTGGACATGTCACGTCTTCTCGACATGTGGGAAGTCGTATTATTTTTTAAAAAAACTTTAGACCCAAACACACTTCGAATACCTGGGGGAGTTGTGTTTATTGCTTGAAACACATTAAAAGTTTGAATGAAATAACTTGGGATCCAATAATTTTTAAAAATAAAATGTAGATTTATACCTAATAATCCCTCCTTTTAAGTTCTGGATATCAGTGTTTGTTTTTATTAATGATCTATGAATGAAGTATTTATATATATGACTTATAATACATGAAATTTTATATTATTGAATGTGTCCCCCATATGTCACGTCATGCATATTTTGAAAATTGTCATATTGGCTTCTTGGTGTTGTGTTGTGTGTCTGTGTCCTTACTTCTTAGCTTTTCTTTTTTGCTATTGATAAATCTGGATTTCTACAGTTGATCAATTTTTGTCATTGAGTTTTCTTTTTGGCAATTACCAGGCTGATAGTTTGCGACAACAAACGCTACAACAAATGCATCGTATACTGACAACCAGACAATCAGCCCGAGCCCTCCTTGCAATAAATGACTATTTCTCCCGACTTCGAGCTCTTAGTTCTCTCTGGCACGCCAGGCCACGGGAGTGATGAACTGTGCACTCCTTTATCATACCATCTTGAAGATTGGCTCCAATCGGTGGACCAAAATTCACCGACAAGTTTTCAAATGGATCAAAACTATATATATTCCATGTCCGGTGGACTGCATGTGACGGCCGAGTGCTGTGGAACCATCCTGTTTGCGGTGCAGGGAGGGAGCTTAATTTATTGTATTTACGCCCCGATCTGCACATGTAAATTACATATGTTAGGTGTTGTATGCAAAAATTCCTTATGTATGTGCCAATAATAATATGAATATGTTGATGTATCTACCAGAACTAGGAAGGGATTGTAGAATGGTTACTTGGGATTTTAGCTATAGTTTGTAATACCAAAACCAATTGGAAAGGAATTTTATTTAGGGTTGTAATGTTTTAGAATTTTCTTGTAAGAAATGTCTGTTGATTCTCTATGTTTGCTTTTGTGAAATTATATGCATGTTTTCTGTCAATAATGATTAATGAATAGGTATTGATGCACAATGGTCTAGTTTTTGTGTTTTGCCTTGGGCAACAACAATGCTGTTGGTTTAGAATTGCCACCCTTATTTTAGTGGTGCATGTTAGTACTTATTGATATGCTTATAGATTTTTTTGGGGTGTAAATTTTAATAATTTTAAATTAATTTAAAATTTTTAGTATAATAGATGATATTTTTTAGGGAAAATTAGTCTAAAATCCCTCTCCCACTTTTAATAATGGATAAGATTTACAATATTATTTTATGATATCTAAAGTCCTTCAACTCCAAACTCATATATCACAGAGAAATTTAAGAAGAAACGAAAGGGCTTCAAAAACTGAGTTTGGTCTCTCTCTCTCTCTCCCTCTCCCTCCTACATCAACCCCAAACTCAGTAAACAAAGGAAGCACGATGCTCTAAAGAAGGTTATGCCACAAGAGAAGAACGGATTAGTCTCTCTTTCTCCTACATCAACCCCAAACTCAGTAAACAAAGGAAGCACGATGCTCTAAAGAAGGTTATGCCACAAGAGAAGAATGGATCAATTTCGATCATGTTGGAACTCTATGAGTGTAGAGAAAAAACGAAGATTGCTTGAACTCAGAATTCACGATTTGAGAGAACATTTTAGTTCATTCAATGATAATGATGGTTTAGCATCAAAGACTTTCTCAGAAGCCATGGGTTTTGCTCAGAACAAGTAGTCTTGGAAGTTCTAGTCCTGTTTTCTTTGTAATGAGAAGTTTAAAGACTTAGAATTGCAAATGCAGCATATTGAATCCGAGCACAAGAGAAACATCTTATCGAGTTTGCAAGAAGTTGCGAAACAAGAAGTTGATGCCGATTGGGCTGACACGCTTGTCAATTGTGAATGGAAGCCAGTGGATACCCGTAGAGCTCTAGAAATTATGGAAAAACAATTAGAAAGCCCATTGGCTAATCTTGATGGTAAGAATGATAAGGCTCAATCCTCACATGAAGAACCAAAGGAAGGCCAGGTTTGCAGTGACAGTGAAAGTAGAAGCCAAGATGACATTTCTAAATTTGGCTCAAGTGAATCTGGTCAGAATTTGCAGCCTTGAAGCTTCTGTCCAATATTTTGGGCTTAAACAGGAGCCCTTGCGTGGGTAGTTCCTTGGATGATCCACTTAATGTTCATGAGATTGAGGGGAATGAAGTTAGGGAGAGCATTGTTTTTAATGGTGATTCATTGTGTCCCCTTCTCGATGGGCATTTACTGCAAGGGGGACTTACGCCACATAAATACAAGGATGTTGTTGCAGATGATGGTTCAGCAATAACTGGTACCACTCATTATGATGAAGTTGTAGTGTTTACAGATAGTGATGCTTTTATACACTGGTTGTTTTCTGGTTCTTCAATTGGAGAAGATTTAGAATCATAGGCAAATACACATTTAAACTGAATTTTCTCTGGGTTGGTCCAGAGAAATTCTTTGGTTTCGAGCTGGAACCTGGAATGCTTAATTTGTATAAAACCCAATGTTTGTGAAATCAAATTTTGAAACCCTTTTGTTGAGAAGGAGAGCAATATTGGTGTTGTTTGATTTCATCTCTCATTCTCTTCAGAGAAATTCCCATAATTTGCTTGACACCAAGAGTGAAGGCAAGCAAAACAGTAAATCACAGAGTTATTTGTGAGAAAATTCAATACTAGGGAAATTTCAAAACATAGAAAATCAAAAAAATTAAACAAACCAGAGAAAAATTTCTCTAGTTTGAAATTTCTCTGAATGTAAATTTCTCTGGATTGAAATTTCTCTGGAGCAGAATTTCTCTGGATCAAATTGAGAGACCTTAGACATTATAAAAATATTGGATGTCCTTTATACTATAAAGTCTTAATACCAGAGACCCTAAAAAAAATTCTTATTTTTTATTGACTTGAACACTCAATTAAAAAAAAAAAATTATAATTTAAATTTTTTTGGAAGTGCGGTCACGCCTTCTCTTTCCTTAGATCCGTAGCATTTCCATTATATTAAATATACAAATGAATTAGTATTTTATAATTTGAATAAAATCAAAATATTAAATACACCCCTAAAAACAAATATGTAAATATATAAAGAAAGTAGTATTTTATAATTTGAATAAAATCAAAACATTAAGGGTTGGTTTGGAAATAAGTTATTTTAGTAATTTTTTGATTTTCTTTTTTTGTTAAAACATGAGGTGAAAAATATTAGTATATTTAGGATATTTTTTAATTTTTTATGAAAAAAATGTGTAAAAAATAAAAAGAAAAGAATTTTTTAAATTTTTTGAATAATTTTTTATCATTTTAAACCCACCCTAAATACACCTCTAAAAACAAATCTGTTTGTAGGAAGAATACAGCTATGTTGAGACCATAAAATTTCATAAATTTTAATTTTTTAAATATATTTACATGGGGTTTGGTTAGGAAATTTAGAAAAGAAAATGAAAAAAAGTGTGTGAAACTATTTGAAAGATAAGTATATTTTATTTACGTTTTACCTATCTTTTCCATTTTTCTTTTCAAATCTCTCATCAAATCATTTAACTAAACACAGCATTAGATTAAATAAATTTAAAAAATAAAAAATATTAATTAAATATTTTTGAAAAATACCAAGTAAAAACCCAAAAACTTGTCCATAACCAAACTGAGTGCACCCTGGTTAATTTGATTCGAAGCATGATGTTGTATAACACGACTTGTGTTCGATTGCTGCAATACAACCGCCATAGTTACTGAAATACCGAATTTGAGAGAGAGAGAGAGAGAGAGAGCCTTGTCTTCCTCCTCAGGTAACCCTTCTCCTTTTTCTCGACCTCTATGCTTAAAATCACACAACTATATCTATATACAAATATATAGTTGTTGTTGTGCTTATTAATCAAAATTGTGGGTTTAGGCAGGGAGAGAATCATTTGACTGTTTGCAATTAAGTGGTCCATCAAGTGTTTGTGAAAACTTCTCAATGGGTACATCCCATCTTGTTGTGAGATCCCTTTTTACTTTTCTTTATTTGTGTCTCATGACTCTGTATTTTGATGGATGATAGATGTTTTGTATACAAAAGCTAGGATACAATAGTGAACAGGGAATTGTTACTATTTGCTTCATTGTTTTTTTTGGGATGCTTTTATACTTACTCCACAGCCATGAACCAAACACGGCCCTAGGAAATGGGTATATACTAATCCCATTAATTGGGACGCAAGGCTTGTTGAGTTGAGTTGTATTTTCATAACTGCCTTGCTAGTTTCAGCTTGATGTGATACTTGGCAGCACTATTATTATTATTATTATTATAACCATTGTCGTTCGCCATCATCATCGTTAGTGATTGTTGTGTTTCTTGCTCAGTTTTTGTAGATTTACTTCAATAAATTTCGACATTGTAGTGGGAGAGGCTTGAATTGGGCAGCCACACAGCTCAAATCACTAGATTTTATGAACTTAACTTAAGAGGGGCAAACAAACTCCCCTTAATATCCAAACACAACTCACACCAAGAGAAAAACAAAAGCAATATTAACCAGCATGCTCCTTGGGGCATATCCTAGTCAAAACAAACCAAAACCGGTGCAAAGAGAAGCGGAGAAACTGAAATCTAGTACTTAGTTGCTGGGATAAAGATAGTGTCAGGATGCCCAAACTAGAAGCATAGGATCAAGTCCTAGTAGATATTGTCAACACCTATGCAAGTACTAATTTTTATCTAGCTAGCTGAGAAAATATCCCTATAAGTGGTCTGAACCATGAGTAAGTACAGGTTTAGCTTGAAATCTAGTTCTCATTTTCGTTTGCTCTTTCCTTGCAACAGCTATTTTTAAGGGTTCTTGTTGACTGTTTTTACATCAGTTTATTTATTGTTCTCATTTTTCTTAAACATGCTTTTCTATCTAAGAGTTTGTACTATCTATTTTCTTACACTGATTAATATCTATATTATGTGTTTTTGTAGGCGAGAAGCTTAAATTAAAGAAGGATGCCACATAGAACCCAGCCTATGAAAGCACTCTTAATGTTTACTGGTCTCAATGTTATTTTGGTATCAACCATTACTCCAGTCTATGATTTTGTTTGCTTTCTTCCATATTGGGAAAGAAGGGTAAGTTTCATATCTTCATTTTTTTCTTTTGTCTTTGGCCTGCAAAATGCATTATCCTTTAAAGTAATAGCATTGAAAGCACCAAAACGGTGTGTAACCCCAAGCAAATTTGACATGCAGAGAGATTTATCTACAACTACCCTGAAAAAACTGTTTAAGTATCAAATTAACTACAACATCTTAATAAGTCTAGGGCACAGCTTCATCCATCCATTTATTGTTCAAGGTAGCTTCAGTTTAATTATAAGCCCGAGGGCTAGCTAGTTGCTTTAGAAAAGTCTTTATTTAAAGCCTTAAACTTTAAAGTACCTGTTGTAACTGTAAATGTAGCCCCAGCACCCCATTAATCCAACAATCCCATGTGAGGGCCATTGGTCACTCAGGCGCTTCAAAACTACAAGTCTACAATGCCACATGAGGTTGTGTCACCAATGGGGTTAGATTGATCTAGGTGTCAGCTCAAGAGGCTGACACATGGAACCAAGGGTCAAGGTGGTGGTGGTGTGGCAATACGTGGCACCAATGTGGGTGTGTGGGCTCATGTATGTACAATTTTCATATCTGACCAAACTGATATAGGCTACAATTTTCCATGACTTTTGTGTCATGTGATGTCCTCCCGTCTTAGATTTTCTGCAGTCTGCAGCACGTGCTTTTCCTTTATTTAGGTGCAAAGGAAAGTATTGGACTTGAAGTTCCTTTAGGAAGTAACAGTGCATGACCAATGTTTCTCCTAAAAGAAGTAAGAATTGAAAATAAAAATTATATTGATACTGTGTGCGCACTTTTTCTTTTATTGTTGTTCTCCTTTTTTTCTTTTTTGGGCACAACGGGGTGGAGATTAGGTTGGAAGTTAGAATCCTGAACCAAATAAATGTAATAGAATGTACAGTAACTGGGAGAACTAACAGCATATATCAAAACTGGGTTAACAAGGTTTTTTTTATTACTTTCAACATGGTTTCCACTTGATATATTTAATAGAAATGAAAAATTCATGTGATGATACAAGTACTGGGTGAATTTATTTCTGTTTCTTGATGCTGATTTTTGGTAATTGATTCATTCAGAGAGAACATCGTCATCAAGAATGCGAAGCTGCTTTGGCAAAGGGATCTGAATCAACATAAATGGGTCTCCAAGTTTAGGGCCAGGAGGTAACAAGTTATTTGGTTAGGCTGCATAGCTAACTGGTGTTTATAGGTTGCTGATTCATTAATATATAATGAAAAGGCAGTCAAAAAGGCCTTGTATGTCCACCTTAGACATATCGTTGTGAATCATTGAATCAATTTTTACCCGAGGAATTGCTATACTAGTTTTTACCTCTACTTTTGATTTCTAGCAATTGGAGGGCAATATGCAATGTGTAGCTTGAGATGTTTATTTCACTTTGTTTTTTCTTTCTTTGGTCTCACGTATCTTGTAATTTTTTTTTCTTTTTTTTATAATATTTTTTCCTTCTGTTAACAATATTTAACAAGGTTAAATTTTGTATTTGTTGAAAGATTGGGGCAAGTGTCTTAGATTTCACATGGAAATGGTAGAATGTTATTTTTGTTTGGGAGTTTCATAAACAGTTTAGAATTAGAACTATGCACCAACTTGTCCAATTGTTTGTGTTTTAACAGCTGATGCTCCCTTTTGAGCAGCAGAGAAAGGGGATGTCATGTGCAAGCCGTGTCAGAAGACCACACATACCTCTGTTCTTGATCAGCAGTAGTCAAAGTTGTATAACCCATATTTACAGGCAGCTTCTTGATGCCTGCATTGAATCAAAATCACTCAGAGAAGCCAAGATAGTCCATCAGCATCTCCTCAAGAATGGCAACACCGCCACCAGCAACAACAGTGCCATTGTACTGGATAAACTAACTCGTCTGTACATTACATGTAATGAACTTGAGCTTGCTGGTCGGGTCTTTGATACAATTCCAAACCCAGAAAGGAAAAATAATGTCATCTTGTGGAACCAGATGATCAGAGCTTATGCGTGGGAAGGACCGTTTTACCATGCCATTGAATTGTACTACAAAATGATTGAATCTGGGGTCACACCCACCAAATTCACATACCCATTTGTTCTTAAAGCGTGTTCTAATTTACAGGTCATAGAAGATGGTAGGAAGATTCATGATCATGTGAGGAGACTTGGGCTGGAGTCTGATGTCTACATTTGCACTGCTTTGGTTGACTTTTATACTAAATGTGGGTGTTTAATTGAAGCACGGAAGGTTTTTGATAATATGTCTAATAGAGATGTAGTAGCCTGGAATGCAATGATTGCTGGTTCGTCTCTTCACGGGCTGTATAGTGACACGATAAGAATGGTTATTCGGATGCAGGAAGCAGGATTAAGTCCCAACTCTTCTACGGTAGTGTCAGTTCTTCCTGCACTTGGCGAAGTGAACGATTTGAGGCATGGGAAATCCGTGCATGGTTACTGTGTGAGGAGGAGTTTTCACAGTGATGTGGTGGTTGCAACTGGGCTTTTGGACATGTATGGCAAATGTCGGTGCCTAGTTTATGCAAGTAGGATTTTTTATATAATGGTGGTCAAAAATGAGGTTACTTGGAGTGCTATGATTGGAGTGTATGTTTCACGTGATTTTGCGAGAGAGGCATTGGAATTATATGACCAAATGCTTCTCAGGGATTGTATATGTCCGTCACGAGTTATACTAGGGATTGTACTGCAAGCTTGCTCAAAGCTGACTGATCTGAGAAGAGGGAGAAGGGTACACGGTTACATAATTAAATCAGGGTCTATTTTTAATGTAATGTTGGGTAACACGCTGCTTTCAATGTATGCAAAGTGTGGAGCTATAGAGGATGCGATGAGATTATTTGACGAAATGGATTCGAAAGATTCGGTTTCATATAATGCTATTATCTCAGGGTGTGCACAGAATGGCAAGGCAGAAGGGGCTCTGGGTATTTTCCACAAGATGCAATCGTCAGCGTTCGAGCCAGAATTGGCAACCATGGTTAGTTTCTTACCTGCTTGTTCACACTTGGCTGCTCTGCAACTCGGAGCTTGTGGCCACTCTTACTCTATTGTGCGTGGATTTACAACAGATACCTCAATTTGTAATGCTCTTATTGACATGTACTCGAAGTGTGGTAAGGTTGATATAGCCAGACTAGTTTTTGATGTGATGCGTAAGAGAGATATTGTCTCATGGAATGCTATGATTTTCGGGTACGGTATTCACGGGCTCGGTATTGAAGCTGTTTTGCTATTCCATGATATGCAGACAGTAGGCTTAAAGCCAGATGATGTGACCTTCATTTGTCTCTTATCAGCTTGCAGCCATTCAGGACTTGTTGCTGAAGGGAAAAAGTGGTTTTGTGCTATGAACCAAGAGTTCTTTGTAGTTCCAAGGATGGAACACTACATGTGCATGGTCGATCTTTTGGGGCGTGCTGGGCTCTTGTATGAGGCTCGGAGTTTCATTGAAACGATGCCATTTGATCCTGATGTTCGTGTATGGAGTGCATTGCTTGCTGCTTGTAGAAACTATAAGAATATTGAACTTAGCGAAGAAGTATCAAATAAGATCCAGAGCTTGGGACCTGAAAGTACTGGAAATTTTGTTCTGTTATCGAATATATACAGCACTGTTGGGAGATGGGACGATGCTGCAAATGTTAGAATCGTGCAGAGGAATCGAGGATTCAAGAAAAGCCCAGGATGTAGTTGGGTTGAAATAAATGGGGTTGTCCATGGATTTGTTGGTGGAGATCAATCACACCCGAATTCAGCAGAAATATACAAGAAATTGGAGGAGATGGTAATGGAGATGAAGAAGTTGGGTTATCATTCTGAATCTAGTGTTGTTCTTCAAGATGTTGAAGAGGAGGAGAAGGAAAGCATTCTCCTCTGTCACAGTGAGAAACTAGCTGTTACGTTTGGAATTCTTAGTCTGGGCCCTGACAAGCCCATTCTTGTAACCAAGAATTTGAGGATTTGTGGAGACTGCCATGTGGCACTGAAGTATGTCAGCGTTGTTGCAAGAAGAGAGATAACTGTGAGAGATGTGAGTCGATTTCATCATTTCAGGGATGGGATTTGCAACTGTGGGGATTTCTGGTGAGAAGAGAATGAATGAGAAATCACAGGTGGCTAAAGATTCTTGTTTTGTAGTTGTTGTGCTTTAAATTTTTGGATTGCATTTAGAGGCTCCCAGAAGTTTGGGTTTATGGAGTTGTGTTAACCTAAAGTTACTAATCTGCTAACATTTTCCGAGTGTAAAAAATAAATAAATAAATTCACATGGAAATGGTAGAAAGTCATTTTTTATATTCCCTGACTGGGTTCTTTCAATTGAATCATCCCCTTTTTGTCTCGAAATGTTGTCTCTCTATTTTTAAGAATTACCTCATAAGTACTACAAAAACAGTTAAAGATCACACTTTAACAAATAAAAATATCTCACTTTTATTAGAAGTGTGATAAAAAAAAATTAAATTGATATTTTAATCACACTTGACTTGAGGGAGTGTGATAATATTTATTTTTAATATCACTTTTTAAATAAGTGTGATTATATCTTCTTTTTTTTTAATCACATTTTCTAAATAAGTGTGATTGTATGTATTTTTTTAATTTTAATTTTCATTTTATATAAAATAATTGCCAATTCTCTGATCCGTAAAAATTCAAACCGCCCATGACTTTTTTTTTTTTTTTTTCTCCCTCCTATTGCACAGTAGAGCAGCCCACACACACAACACAACACAATTCAATTCATTTTTTCTGAGATTCACAAACCTATCTCTCACTCTTCTCTCCAAACCCTAACCCTACATCCTTTGATCGGCGGCGACTACAAGCGGCAGCAGTGGCCTGCAGCGACGGTGAGCGACTGAGGTATTCACCCCCCAAAAAAAAGAGCGACTGAGGTATATCCTTTCTCTTCTCTTCTCTTTTCTTCTTTTCTTCTATTCTAATATTCTAAGTTTTGTTGAAATCAGCCATTCTAAATCGATTTTTGTTCATTTCATTTCAGATCTTAATCTTCTCATTGATTTGGGTTTTATTAGGCAAAAGGAGGTAATATTTATTCCATCATTTAATATGTATTTTGTTTGTTTGATTGGTTTTTATTGTATATTTTCTTTGTGTGTTTTGTATACGTATTTGGTTATGAATGGTGTTTCTATCTTTGTTGTTTGTTTGATCATGTTAGACAAAAGAATTTTTAAAATCTATACAAGCTGTTAGCTTCTCTGATTTTGCTTCTAATGGCATTGGCTGGTAGCTTTGGCAGGTTGTATAATGATATTGGTTTCGCTCATCAAAAAAATGAGAAGAAGATGAATAGGAATTTCTAAAAAATTTGAATTTTTTTGTGTAGTTAACAAATGAAAAATATTCAACTAATTTTATTTCCCTTTCCTTTTTCTAACCCTCAGCAAAGAAACATAGCTTGAGGGAAAATGACAAGAATCATCATATCTACATTTTCTCTTATGTGAAATCTTTCTTAATTATTATTGAATTTTTGTGTTTGCTTAGTCCATATGACATATGTTCCAGTGACCAATTCTTTGGTGTTGCAGAATGACTGGCTCTGGCCCGTTCTGTATTATTTTGGTAATGACAAACATAAAAACTTTATTGATTTTGGTGAAGATACTTCTTTTGATGAGAAAGTTAGGTTTCCTTGTTCTTTTTTTCTCATGCCCTTTTTTTTCATCATTCTATATATATGATAATTCAGCACCAAGACACACTACTTGTCATTGCCTTTTGATATTCTTTACATTTCAATGCAAAAAATTTGACTGAACTTTGCTTGTATACATTTTATATGGTGATGAGTGTTATTTGCTTGTTCAGGTTAATGGAAGGTGAATATGAGATACTACTTATTATATTTTTGATGGGAATACGATAAATACTTTTGCCTTCAATTTTTACGTTGATTCATTGTTTGAATTTCATTTTATAGCCAGAACAATTATGGCTTTTACTCAAGCAAAATACAATTGTTAATTGCTTTAAACAACTGTATTCTGCTTTGGCAAAAGCCACTATTGTTCATGCAATAGGGCTGCCCTATTGCAAACGTATTTGTTTTAGTTAGAATTCTCATGCCTATTAGTTAACGTGAACACATAACTACGTAGAAAATTTAATGTATAAAGAGAAATAGAGAATTGTATTATTGATTGATATATCTGTATTGTGTATATTACAAGTACAAGGATTCCTATTATATAGGAGAGGATTTGGGAGTAGGTGAGGAGTAGGTGGGGAGTAGGTGAAGTAGGTGAGTGTGTGTGGTAGGTGGTAGTGGGTGTAGTAGGTGTAGGTTTTAACAGCCCCCCGCAAACTCAAGGGGGATAGGAACTAACCAACTTGAGTTTGGAGAGAGTAACAAAACAAGAAAATACATAAAAAGAAAAGAGGATAGGAGACACTGTATGGTCGTGTCAGACCATTGGTGAAGACACTGGATGGTGGTGTCATAACGTTGTAGAGGACACTGTATGGCATTACTTGGATAACACTGATGGACTAGTAACAATAAGTTCTTCTAGTCAATGTTGCTGATATATCTTCTCTAGTTATTAATTTTTTTACATTATTAAATCGCTGTCCCTTCTTTATGAACTGTCTACATGCTTTAGCTGGATTTATGCCTTTTAATATTTGATTTGTGGTGGTGGCTTTTTCTCAACGGCTAGGTGGCATAGCATTAATTTAGTGCATCATATTTGTATTATTTACATCCCCCCACCCACCCACACACTGAAAAAAGGGGGAAAAAAATGAGAGAAGCTCCTTCTTGTCTAGATACAATTTTTAAAGTTTAGGATATCCACTTGCATAGGTTGACGACTTCCGTCTTCCATATTTTCAGATTTATGATTGTGTGCTTATAAGATGGATGTATATGCTGTTTGAGAACTTGACTAGTAGGATTGTTTGTGTTGGTAGGGATGGATGGGAAGGCTTACGCATATAGTGCAGGCTCTGGAACTATAATTGATTCTGATGGTACTATTTTAACTTGTGCTCATCTTGTGATGGGTTCTCATGGCAAAAAAGTTAAATACGAAGGCAAGGTTAGTGGTTGAACCCTTCATATTTCTATTGTTCTTCAAATTTTAACAAATAGAAGAGATTTATTTCATAAGATAGTGTGCACTTATTGTCATCAAGGCATTGTGTTATGTGGCACGTTTTGTGGCAGTATGATGTACACTCCATTCTATGATTTCTGATTAGTTATATTTCCAAAATGGTTAACCTTGCAGGTTGATGTGACTTTGCAAGATGGCCAAACATTTACCGGTACTGTGATATATGCTGATTCACATACCGATATTGCTATTGTGAAGATCAATTCTAGAACTTCTTTCCCAGCAGCAGAACTTGGATTTTCACATAAGCTATGTCCTCAGGATTGGGTGGTGGCCATGGGCTGTCCCCTTAGTTTTGTACTAAGTTTTTTCATTTTTTTAATATATATGATGATACAATCCGTCCCGAGTGGATGGGTCAGGCTAGCCCAGGTTCTTCAGGTTCCGGTTTCGGGTGGTGATTCCGTCAAATGACCTGCAAACAAGTCCGAAGAGGAACGGGGCAGTCCCCTAGTGAACCCTCCGGCGAGAGAATTAGTAGAAGAAAAACAGGAAAAAAATGTGGCGAAGAAGATGGAGAGATGAAAAGCTTAACCTTATTCTTGTGCTTCTCTTGTTGCTTATATCCTTTGGTAATCATTTCACTGTCCTTTGTGACGTGCCCCCCTTTCCGCCGAAAGCCTGTGCCGTAGCTTACCTTGTTCAGGGTGAGGGGGCTCCGTTCCGACGGGGAGGTGTTGTCGTAATAAATGCTGTGATGGGCTGCATTAATGGTGATGTGTTGTGGCAATAACTCTGCAGATCTTTGTCTGCTGATGTGGCCTGTGTCTCATCCGTCATGTGTCCGAATGCCCTTGGCCCTCCACGTCCAGGTGGACTCCAGCTGTCCCGGGCTTTGCCAATCAAGTTATGCTATGGGTTCGAGGCGATAGGTTCGGGGCGGTTTGCCGTGGGCTGTATGCCTCGTGGGCCTATCCATGTCTGTATGCCTCGTGGGCCTATCCATGTCAGTAGTCCCCCATTTCCGAGTGCAGCTTTAGTCCAATGAAGGGAATAGTAGTAAGGAAGAGAAATTCAAACTGAGTGGAGAGGTCTACGGGAAGCCGTGCCGATCGCCAGGGTAATTGAATCGGGAGAAGCTAACCGTGAGGGTGGCCGAGCGGGAGGCGTCGGCCGAGAGGCGTGCCGACCGCGAGGGTGGCCGAGTGAGAAGGGTCGACCGAGAGGCGTGCCGACCGCGAGGGTGGCCGAGTGAGAGGGGTCGACCGAGAGGTGTGTCGACCGCGAGGGTGGCCGAGTGAGAAGGGTCGATCGAGAGGCGTGCCGACCGCGAGGATGGCCGAGTGAGAGGGGTCGACCGAGATGCGTGCCGACCAGGACGGCGCGGGGTTCGAAAGGAGAGGGGGTGGGTTGGGGCCATGTGATGATTTGAAATGGAAAAGACAAGGGAAAGGGGGGGACAGTGGGGAACGGGAGAGGACAGTGCATCGTGGCCATACACGTGGTAATATCGTGGGGTTGTCTTCCAAAGACTTCATTATTTGTACATCTGGAATTAGCTTGATGGTCAAAAGCACAATTTGGTATGTTATTGATGTTTAGAAAGAACTAAATATTGATTATACGTGATTTGATTAAAATTCATATATATTTTGTAGGTTTCAATGTGGAGAAAGTGCAGTATAAGAATGTGGTCTTCACAGTGTGGGATGTAGGCGGACAAGAGAAATTAAGACCACTATGGAGGCATTACTTGGATAACACTGATGGACTAGTAACAATAAGTTCTTCTAGTCAATGTTGCTGATATATCTTCTCTAGTTATTAATTTTTTTACATTATTAAATCGCTGTCCCTTCTTTATGAACTGTCTACATGCTTTAGCTGGATTTATGCCTTTTAATATTTGATTTGTGGTGGTGGCTTTTTCTCAACGGCTAGGTGGCATAGCATTAATTTAGTGCATCATATTTGTATTATTTACATCCCCCCACCCACCCACACACTGAAAAAAGGGGGAAAAAAATGAGAGAAGCTCCTTCTTGTCTAGATACAATTTTTAAAGTTTAGGATATCCACTTGCATAGGTTGACGACTTCCGTCTTCCATATTTTCAGATTTATGATTGTGTGCTTATAAGATGGATGTATATGCTGTTTGAGAACTTGACTAGTAGGATTGTTTGTGTTGGTAGGGATGGATTTACGCATATAGTGCAGGCTCTGGAATTATAATTGATTCTGATGTTACTATTTTAACTTGTGCTCATCTTGTGATGGGTTCTCATGCCAAAAAAGTTAAATACGAAGGCAAGGTTAGTGGTTGAACCCTTCATATTTCTATTGTTCTTCAAATTTTAACAAATAGAATAGATTTATTTCATAAGATAGTGTGCACTTATTGTCATCAAGGCATTGTGTTATGTGGCACGTTTTGTGGCAGTATGATGTACACTTCATTCTATGATTTCTGATTAGTTATATTTCCAAAATGGTTAACCTTGCAGGTTGATGTGACTTTGCAAGATGGCCAAACATTTACCGGTACTGTGATATATGCTGATTCACATACTGATATTGCTATTGTGAAGATCAATTCTAGAACTCCTTTCCCAGCAGCAGAACTTGGATTTTCACATAAGCTATGTCCTGGGGATTGGGTGGTGGCCATGGGCTGTCCCCTTAGTTTTGTACTAAGTTTTTTCATTTTTTTAATATATATAATCACAGTTAAATCTTTTTTATTAATTTTTTTTGTATATACTTTTTAACATTCAACTTTTATTTATGAAATATATGACGTTATTTCGTTCATTGTGGATGTGATTGAAAGGATACTATATAGTGTGTATTACATTCTTTAAATGCGTACAAAAATAATATTGATTATTTTTCAAATATGTCGAACCCTTTTTTTGTCACATGCATTAACTGTGATGAGAAATGCATATAATGTGTGATCTTATCTCATTATTAATCACGCTTAAAATGTGTGATCTAAGGTGGTGTTTGTTTTGAGGAATTGAGCCATGGGATTGGACTAATAGTCTCTCCGAACTAATAGTCTGTTGTTTGGTTCAAAATTTTTGCTCCGGACTATTAGTTCCAAATATGTTGAACTATTGTGTCCCATGGGGGAGGTGGGACACAAATGGGGAGATAAGAGGGATATGGGATTAGGTTGTGACATGGTCATTTTGACTCTCCACTATTTAATTATGTATTATATTTAATAAAATTCAATAAAATTTAAATGTTTCAATTTAAAAATAAAATAATTTTATTTAATTTTTTTGATGTTTTATTTATTTAATTTTTTAAAATAATGTTTTATAGATATTTTATTGATGTTTTATTTTAAAATTTTGTTTATATTTTATTTAATTTCATTAGTTAAATTTTAATAGATGTTTTATTTAATTTCATTATTTCTTATAATTATTTTTTAAAATAAATTTATTTAAAATTTTAATTAAAAAAATGACATATATTTTTATTGATATTTAATTTATTTAATTTTTAAAAAATAAATTTATTTACTTGTGAAAAAAATAAAATAAAATTTTATTTAATCTAGCTAAAAATTATTAAAATATTAAATATATGTTTAATATTGCTATTACTTAGTAAATAATTGAAAACGGTAAAATAGTCATTTGAGCATTTATCATTCTCTATAATATCCCAAACAAATATAGGATTCAATAGAATAATCTAATTCAAACATCTAGTCCCATGACTATACAAACATTGGATACACATCATTTTCAAGTAAATAGTTCAGGGACAATGTATCCCAAGATTAATAATCTGATGGATTACAATCCCCCCTTATCAAAAGTGTGATCTAAATGTTTATTATCACACGTAAAAAGTGTGATGAAATCATCTTTTAATGACACTCAAGATGTGTGATTAAAAATAATTTCAAATATCACACTTTGACAAAATTTAAAACGTGTGATTAAATAATATACATCACACATAAAAAGTGTGATCTATTTATAATTTTGTAGTAGTATGTTGAAAGTTGGCCAATTCTATTTCCTTAAGCAGTGGTTTGGGAAATTGGGTTGGGATGAGTTCGGGCTAAAATAGTCACAAAAAGACAAAATATGTTTTTTAGGCTTAGGTTACAAAATATCACATACAAATTATAATTATTTTATTTTTTCTTTCACAAAAATATATAAAAAAAAAATAAAAAGTCTATCCCAAACGAGACTTTTTAACCCTATGTTAAAATAGGCAAAAACTAAAAAGTAAAAAATAACTCACATCCCAATCGAAGCCTAAGTGTTGTTTAATAATCTAATTTAACATTTAGAATTTAATGAATTTAGTAAAAATAATTAGATTCGTTTGATAATTATTATAATTTTGTATCATTTAAAATTTTAAATGATTTCTTACAAATAAGCTAAAATTTTAAATCACTGGCTTCTTACTTATGGTGAATTTTTAATTTCTTATAACTGTATCACTATCAATATAATCACCAATATTGTCACCGGTATTGTGCCACTGTTGCTCACACCACCACCACCACCACCACCACTCCTATCATACGATCATCATTGTTGTTAGGTTTTTGTAATGGCAATCTCGTTTAATTTAAAAATTTCAGTTATATTTGTTGGAAATGATTTGGAAAATCTGAATAAAAAATAGATTTTTTTCTTACTTTGGTCTAATATTTAAGTGGGACCCATGCGTCGATTTTTGCGGGTCAAGTGGTAACGCGTTCTATGCGGCGTTATGATTCATGTGATATATTTGGTTGCTCAAAACCATTATTGAGTGAATGAGAAATTAAAACTAAAGTGCGCTTTATGGAAATAGAGTTTTTGTGAAAATTCCTTAAAGTTTGTGTAAATGGCTTGTCCCACATTGATTTGGTGAGAAGTTTTGAATGGGTTTATATAGCTTGGACTTATAACTTGGGGAGGGCCCCAAAAGGCACCCCAAGTTTGTGGAGGGGAGAGGTTATGGGCCAAATGGGCTAGACCCATTGGACCCAAAAAATCACCACGAGCAGGCTGCCATGGGCTTGGGCGCGAGTGCATGATGTGAGGTTGGGTTGGGCTTGTCTGGCCCAATACTTATATTTTTGGGCCAAAAATGTTTGAATTCAATTTATTTTTGATAGAATAAATTCTATCCAAATTTAAATTTAAATTCTTGAATTCAAAATTTTATTTGCACCTCTTCAGAAATTCTTTACAGGTTCAGATCTGTCCAAAACCAAATATGTTCGGTTCAAATTTAAATCCACCCGATTAGATTTGAAATTCAAACAGATTTGGTTATCTGTTCAAATTCAAACCCAACAAGTACAGTACCTGTTCAATTCAAACTTAAAGGGTGCCATTACTTCTATAAATAGACCAGTCCTCATTTGATCAGATTCACTTCAATTTTCGTCCCTCTTTTGCTGCAATTCATCTCTGCATTTTGCTACATTTATTTCATTATTTTTTTGTGAGAAATAGTGTATACACTAAGTGTGTTCGTTGAACAAATAAATTGTAGTGCTGCATTTATTTGTTTTTTATCATTTCATCCTGTGAGATAAACGTCCATATTCTGAAAGTACCGTGGAGAGGACGAATCTGTCTTAAGGACACAGTGTCGAACACTGGACTTGATCAGATTATTATTTGAAGAAATTAATCAAGTAAGTTGTTTAATTTATTATTCTGTTTTATTTGTTTATTTAAATTAGATTTTAATTTTTTTTTGTAACAAAATAACCCCAACGGAGGTGGAGGGGCCCCAACTAAGGTGGAGGTCCCTATGGCCAAGGACGCCCTAGAGGTGGTGGAGATCATCCCGATGGTGGAGGTTGTGGAGATTGCTCCACCAGTGCAAATGATATTTGGGGTGAGTGAGGCGGCGCCGAGCGGAGGGGAACAGGTCCAGAAGAGGCCTGATTCCCAGGAATGAGGGGTTCGTCTGGCCACGGCGATTTATCACGCGCGCGCGGTGGCTGGAAGGTTGGAGGGAGAAGAAGGCCCAGCCAGGGTGGGGGCAAACCGCCTGGTGAAGATTGTGGAGGAGGGAGCTCTGCGCGCGGCATCTGGGTATAATGAGGCCGACCTGCTAAGGGGGTTATGCTCCGCCCAAATGGAGGTAACTACCTTGGCGGGGGCCCTTCTTAGGAAGGCTGGGGCTGCCAAGTTGAAGGCTGAGGAGGCCAGGGCCCAGTTGGCCAAATTAAAGAAGGATAGTGCCGACTGGAAGACTGCCCATGCCGATCTGCCAGCAGTCAAGTTGGAACTGGAGGACACACGCCGTAAGGTTGTGTCACTGGAGTTCCAACTGGCTGGTGAACAGAAAAAGTTGGAAGAGTCTGAGAGGGCCTGCGCCGTGGCAATCGAGCGGCATGAAGAGGCCATGACCAGCAATGAAGAGCTGGTCAGGCAAAAGGATGAAGCGGACTTCAGAATTGGAGATCTGTTGAAGGAGTTGGGGGAGGAGCGTGCCAAAGCAGAGGAGGAGAAAAGGAGGCTTCTGAGGGAGTGGGAGATGGAGAAGGCGAAGGCGGCGGCGGAGCTGGAGAGTCTGAGGAAGGGGGTGGAAGAGGAGAGGGCGACGGCGGCTGTTGAAAGGGGGGCCCTGCAAAAGGAGCTGGACGAGGAGAGGGCGAAGGCGGCGTCTGAAAATGCGGCCTACCCTGATCTATGCGTCGCAGCAGTAGAGCAATATAAAGGGTCCCCCGAATTTCAGATGGTGGTGGATGCTGCTGTCGCCAGGAGTCTGGCAGGTCAGGAGTCTGGGGGGGTGGGCCCATCAAGGAAGACTGCTGGAGGTAGGACAGAGGCAGAGGTGATTGAAAGGTTCCAGCAGTCAGACTTCTATAAGCACGAAATGGCCGAGTTCTGGGACAGCGGTTGGAAAATGTTCAAGCGCAGAGCTGAAGAGCTGTTCCCACACTTGGACCTTAGTAGTGTGACAATAGACGAAGATGATGTGGCCCAGACCCCCCTGGACGAAGGCGTTGAAGAAGAGGATCTGGCATCTAGCGAGGAGGAGTAGCCAAGGAGAAGAAAGACTGGGCGTGCTCTGTGTTTGTTTGTTTGTTTTTTTTTTTTTTTTAACTTGTAAACACATTGTAAAGGAGTGAATGAATGAAGGTATGGAGAATTTAACTGTAATGAAGTTGTGTACAAAGATTATTTAATCAATTGTGAAGAATGTATAGCCAGTTGAATTTTGTGTATTGTGCTTATGTTGCCAGCATGAATGAAATGTTGTAATTAAAACTGGTCATAAAGATTGGGTCAATAAAAATATCGTGCAACGTGAAAGTTAAAAGTTCCTCCCTGCGGAGTGCGATTGGAGTTGTATGAAAATTGAAAAGATAATGGAAAAATTGGAGTAAGAGGCAGGTTGTAAATTATAACAAAATAGTTGGCGAATAATCTGATCAGTAAATGTAATACGTGAGAGTATGTGGAGAATTTAACGAGGTAAAGACGTGGTCCTGGAACTGTGAAAAAGCTTCAGAATGTGACTAAGTGTTGAAAATGTGGTTCTGCTAGGCTTTGAAATGCTCGGTCTGGCCGGGGCTTGTGAAGTGCTCGGTCTGGCCGAGGCTTTGAAGTGCTCAGTCTGGCAGAGGCTTTTAAAGTGCTCGGTCTGGCCGAGGCTTTGAAGTGCTCAGTCTGGCAGAGGCTTTTAAAGTGCTCGGTCTGGCCGAGGCTTTGAAGTGCTCAGTCTGGCAGAGGCTTTTAAAGTGCTTAATAAAGATATCTGAAATATGTCAGTTGAATTATGAAAACCGAAATCACCAGGCGGAGTTTGCATTATGT